ACGTTATTTTATTGAGGGCTTATTGTATCTTTTGGTCTGGCGGTGAAACATGGTGCAGTTTGTAAATGTTTCTTACTCGCCCTTATACAGTTTCAGAGGTATGAAAAAATATTTCCTATTTCAATTGGTAATAAAGCAGTTTCAGATCTCACAGCGATGCCATCCCCGATCAACGTCGTTCGCATAATTGTAGTTCGAATGTTTTACAAATTACTAGTGCAAATGTATTGAGGAGACGTAAGCACTCTTTTGTTCCTTAGATTTCCTGAATAAAAATATATCGCCTTTACCTTTTTCCTTTTTTATTTTTTTTAATAAGTAGTAGTTTCAAAAATTTCGTTTAATTTGTACGTTTTTTGTTCTTTTTTTCCTCATTGAAATCAACTATTGGCTGTCAAGAAATTTAGAGCTTGTTAATTGTTCTGTGTGTTACTGGTTTCGATTGATCACTAGATAATTGTGTAATATAAATTTATTTTTTTAGGCAAGAAGGGTAAATGGAAAAATTCTTACATAGTTCTGAAGGAGAAAGATGGGTCGCAGTTGCTTATATATGATAGTGAAACAGTAAGTTGTATGCTCACGCGGTTACCATTTCTCTCCTCAGTATTTTATTTGATAGAAAAATTCCTGCTTTTAATACCGAGTTTTTGGTAAGTAAGTTTCTTCCTTTTCAGTTTACGAAGCCTAAGTTGATATTAGATCTGTGTTATTGCTTCCTTTACAAAATCGACGAGAGCGTGGTTCATCGCGCGAATTGTATTTTTATCACCTCTAACGGGTCGGACATATGCTTCTCGGTATACCTCGCCTTCTTTTCGTTTTATGAATTTCTTCTGTGGTTTGGATTTCTTAGAAAACGTTGTGTCGGGTGCCGGCGTCCTGCTTCGCCTTTTGCTGTTCTTTCTGCTAATCTGTCGGAAAAATTCAGTTCACTTTCTTTTGTGTATCTGACAATCTGTGACTATAGGTAAAGCTTATCAGTATTTTTAATTTTATTTATATGGCTTTCCATGTAGGCTTAATGAAGAAACAGTGCGAATTTTTTTTTGTAAACGTACTGAATAAAAAGATGTTCATTTTTTTTCAGAGGTACTAATTTGAATCCTGAGTACGATTATAGCTCTTGCGTTCTTATAAATGGAGTTCGTATCACTCAAACGACTCCTGCGAGTCCTGCAGCTAGAAATTATGTCTCTTTCAATGCACACTTTTTTATCGAGTACGACCCCATTTTTTGAAATTTCCTCTTACGCAGTTACTTTTGTTTGTGCGAATGAATTTTAATCACACATTTCACCGGTTTTTTTGAGTCCTTGTTGGAAAAATACTGCCATTCTTAGAGACGAACTTTTTAATGTTAATGATCTAAATCGCCTTATATTGATCTTTAGGAACATCCCTGGTGCACTTTGTAACCTCCAGTTACAGTTAATCTCATACAAGCAAAAGAAAATTGGGAGACAATGCATTCGAAAGCCTTACGGCTGTGGTAAATTAATTTTCATATAAACTAGTTAACAGTATTTTTTTTTGCACAGTTTTAAGTTGGGCTTCTATAATTGATGTTTACAGTTTCTAAAACAGTAGACTTATTTCAGTTTCTTCTGCCGTCTTTCCGTTAACGGATAAAGGTCTTGAATTAAACATTCGTGCAGAAGATCGATGTAACGGTTTTGTCTTCAATGCTATTTTGCACAAGATCGTTGTCTTGCCGGAGGAGAGCTATACAGCTTTTTTTTCTTTACTTACGGCACAGTCGTTTTTGCTTTGTTTGTGGACGGGATCAGTGTTGGATGCATTAGATTGCCGTTATTTTGTTAAACATCTTTTGACTTTGCTTTTGCCAACGCAGTCAATTTTTCTATCTTTTATTGACGTAGTGCTGGAATCTCAGTTGCAAAAAGAGACAGGTGATATTTTTTACTTGTTAAAAATGTTGAATATATATATACTTTTATCAAGTTTGTTTGTTGCATTTGTTACTGTTTTGGAATCTGCTAAAAGTTTGAATTTGATGTAGTAATTTTTCTTTGTTAGTATTCTTTTTGGTGAATGGTAATGGTAATTTGTAAGGCAAATTACTCTTTTCAAAATATTTCTATTTCACCGTTAAGGTGGAAGAAACACTGTTGTTCGGCATTCAGCAGTGTCAAAGTTTTCTAATACTTTGGACACTTACCTTTCTTGCAGCAGCAACATTGTTTCGCTTGGACACTTTTTGTTCAAGTTGTATTTCGACTGCTCTCAGAATTGTCGGAAGAGATGCAGTTTTATATGAGCTTTCTCCTGTACTGCAGCAGTTACGTCGCGATAAGCCTACAAGTGTAGATGTTGAGACGTTTGTGGCTGCATTACGTAAATTAACCCCGCATCTTCCGTATTTGTTAGGTGCGGTCTTGTTTCGGGTTGGAAGTGCGGTGCAGAAACAATTTCCTGACGAACTGAATTGCGCCAAGCGCGCTGTCAGGTTGGCAATCTTTCTATTTATTCGGCTGAACAGAATTAATATGTTTTACTTGCAAATTTAAGTGTTAGTAAGGTCTGGAGCATATTTTACAGTTAAATTCTTATCAGCGTGTGATATTTATTGACTCATAGGCTTTTTTTAGCTGCTTCTTTATTCTCCGGTTTCTCAGTCCGATTCTTACATTTTGGGACAGTACTGGTAAAATCATAGTTTCTTTTTTAAATGCTCTGCTATGTGGCTTACATTTTATTGAAGAATTTCATCTTTTGGATCTTTCAAAGTCTTCAGTCTTTAACAGTAAGTAAACTGCTTTTGAAAGAGAAAATAAAAATATTAAATTTATTTTCAGGTGGTCCTGCACGCAAATTAGCGAAAGCAGTTCAGGAAGCTGCCAATCAGGCATCCTCAGTTAATTTTGATCCTGTACTTTTTTCTGAACGTTTTTGAACTTTCCAGAAGTTTTCCTGCAACATTTTTTTCTTTGATATTGATTGAGATTTTTTGTGAGCATTTAAAATGGCAGCGCTTTTGACAGTATGCAGTAAATTAAGCTGATCAGATGCTCTCATTACGGTACATTGAATGGAGTCCCATGATTTAATAATAAGCACCAGAGAATGGCAGTTACCTAAAGGTAGGGATCGGTGAAGGATATTTTCCTAAAAATTGTTTTTTTAGTGTTCAAGCACTCGAGCAGCTTTCTTAATGTCTCAAATACTTGACGATTTCATGAGGCCTCAATCAGTTAGTTTAAAACTTTTCATCTTTCTAATTCTTCATTTTTCTTTTCTACTCAGTGTTTTTGGGTAGTATCTATTACCTGTTTGTCTTTCTGTTTTTGTTTAGATGTATTAGATTATTAAATTTTTTGTTAGTTCTTCAAGCTTCTTCAAATATCAAAATAGTAATTTTTTTCAAAGTACTCAATTTCGCATAATTTTATGGCTCGTTTTTTAAACTTGATGAAGCGGTAGAGGTGGGAAGTGGGAAATTTTGAAGTCAAACAAACGATTTAAACGCTTATAAAAATCGCTTTCGAAGAAGGCTTTTGAGATATTGTTGCCTTTTCTTTTGAGGAACTAAAGCTTTTAAAAGGTGGTTATTTATTTGATATTCAGACGTCTTAAAGCTCTAACCGTTAATCTTGAGGTATTCAGTTGACTGCTTTGCGGGGGAACTACTGAACGAAAGTTATCGTTTTACATTTTAAAAATTTTAAGTTGAGTTTAACATTTCCGTATTTTTATGAATCAGACTGGTTACCCGCAAATGTTGTAAATACAGTAATTTCAGCAGGACCTTTTTATAATCTTACACTTGTTTAGAGAACAGAGGAGGTGGAAAACAGCTTTGCTGATTACGGAAAAGAGGAGCATTTTGCCATGTTGGCTTTTCATATAGGTCGGGTTCTTGAAAAGCAAGCGGACTGCTGTCCCGTCTCAGAAGCTATGTCGGTCATGAATTCTTTAAAGAATATGGTCGAAACGATTAAAAGCTGTTGATGATCTCATTTATTGTATAATATCTATGGACTTCTTGCTTGAAAAGTTTCGAAAAGATCGTACTTGAAAACGGCTGTAATACCTGAAACAACCATCCGACACTTGACAGTGTGTGTGCAAAGGAGCTAGCGAGCAAGTCATTTTAGTAACGGTGAGCTGTTGAAGACTTTTATAGCAAGATAACTTCAAGATATGCTCGTGCAGTATTGTTTGGTCATAGTTAATGTTTCTGATTCCTTTCCCTGCTTATAAACAGTAGACTTTGCGACTATAGAAAACACCCAAGTTTTTGTTTCCTTCTTCCTTACTATCTGATTCACCTTCATTATATAGGCGCAACACTAAAGCATTTGAATTTGTTGACTACGAGTAAGATTTGTACAAAGTTTTTATTTCAATATTTTTAATTTAAGTCGAACCTCATTTAAAAAACTTCGTACCTAGGAACGCGAAAGGTACGATGTTCATCATGAAGATTATCGCGTCCTTCTGTTTTACAAAGGTTCAAAACTTTTCATCCTTTTTGATTTTGAGAAGTTGTTTTTAAATTCAACAAACCATAGTGAACAATTTGCTAATTTGCTGGAACTGTATAACAAGTCATTCCTTATTTTTGCTTTTTTTTTTCGTTTGTGCAGTACCGGACATATGCCTCGTTTGAATGCCTGCTCAAATTGATCTCCGTCTTTAAATGATTGCGGTGTCTTTGTTTTTACTTCTGCATAGTTCTGTAAACAATTTAATAATAAGAAGTACCTGATGTCTTCAGTTTTTTGTTATCATCTCTTATAAAGGATATTTAATTTGCTTTAATTGCTCATTGAGGGATCTTCGTGTAGTTGCGCTGCCTTCATTACTAATGTTTGATGATAAAGTATGACTTGAACTTTATTTAGTTTTTAATTTTGTGGGATCCATTATTTGGTTCCAGAAGCTTCAATTAGATTTAAAAAAAGGAATCTATTTTGTATGCAAGGTTGTGCAGAAGTTAGTATCTAACTTTCCCTCTCGACCAAGTTCTCAAAGAAATGATAACAGCCTCATTGCAATTGTAATTTCCTGAAGAAAAGGAACTCTCGGGGGCCTTGCCGCTTTTAGTGGTCATAATATCGCAAATGCTGTAATCAACAAAATGCCTACCGTTTAAAATGTTTTGTGTAAAAATGACGGCTTTGACATTTTTTGGCTACAATCACGGGTGCCGAGATATTATTGGGGTTATATGTTTGGTTATCTCATAGGGAAATAATTAAGCATAATTTTATCTGTGGGTTACACTTTTTTTTCAAAAGTTCGTAAAAACATCCCCACTCAATGTACAAAGCTACTTTTTCCTTGGCGTTTATTGTACTCCAGAATGCAGTTTTGAGTTTGCCAGTTACTTTATGTACTACTGGATGAAGGTGTCCAATTAAATTTGGAGCTGAATCTTTGTATTTTTCTTCCTGACCCTCATAGCTGGTCTCCTAAACTTCACCAATTTTGCACTCATCCCTATGCAGTAAAAAGAATTGAATATTTTTTCAACAAGACGAATGAGGATTGTTAAACTTGCTACCACCACTAAAGGTGCTTATCGTAATAGCCACAAAGCTTGCAGTTTCATAGTCATTTCTCTTACACTTAACTGATACAAATCCTGAAGCTGTGAGCGACGACTGAATTCAGTTACTAAAAGTTTGTCATTAGGAATAAAAAACTATGATATACGTGGCAAGCGTTTTTATGTCCAAACTAACAACTAAATCCAATGTAGCTCAAAGCGCCTAATCTAGCTATTTTTCAACTTCTCCATATCCATAAACATTACATTTATTGACAAAGACAGATATTTTGCTAAGGTGAATTTTCTTTTTTTCTTCCTGCGCATATTACTCCGGAATGAAGAAACTAAATTCGCTAAAAGTTCCTAGAATCAGTCTGTACTACGCGCAACCTAGGTGGATCAAAATCTACGTTCCAACTTCACAAGAAAGATCTTTGTCAGTCAATAAATATAAAAAACAGCGCAGAAAACGTATTAATTATAAACCGCACAGAGGACCTCCAAAGAAACGTTCAGTGTTCCCGAAGTTATAGAATGCACTATGCAAAGTATCGGGCTTTTGGAACTTAGCCAACCAAACCCTTTCTGCTATAGTGGATCGTATGGTTGGCCCAGTATCGCCCCGTACCGAATTCGTAGTATTTAGCAGCAAAATTGGGGAATTCAGGCATTTAAGTCGAGAAAAAAAGCTGGAAATGGAGTCTACATCATATTTGAAAATAGCATTAGTACTGTGAAGAATTATGGGAATGACAAAGTGTAAAAACCACTTAATAATTTTGGATCCCAACATCATAAACTTCTTTAAAGCAGTGATTATCATTAAAGAAACAAGTGATCTAGTGTTTCTAATCCGGCAAGTTATTGTTACCACTGAATTCCGCAAGCTCCACGTTCGTTTCATCAACAACATTCTCATCCGTAACCATCCTCCCAAGTTGAAATGCATCACAGCTTTCTCAGTCTCAAAGTTGCCAAACATGATTCTTCGAAGCAGGAGAAGAGGGTTTTATTTGAATCAAACTATTTACCACATCTCTTTCGGTTTTCTTTTTTATTAGAGGTGAATATGAAAATGCAAGGAGATCAATCATCCGTTTCATGAACTGAAGTGAATGAACCGTCAATCAAAAAACTACCATTTGAGTTCAGTTAAATTTGCTGTGCTTTATTTTTTCATGAATAATGAAAAGTATGGCAGCTTCTGAATCCCCCAGAGTGTTCCTAATTAAATTCTACCAGAAGCTTAATCCCCTAGCTCCCAATCACGGCGGTCTTACCATTCCAGTTGCCTTAGTTCAACTTTGCCTTCAAACTACAGTTACCACCAGAGCCCTCCTATAACGCCTCTTGCCTAATATATTATATTATACATTCGTTACTTTGCGCACTTCTAAAACAACGTCCTTTACTGAAAAAGCAGAGCAGACAACAGTCGCGAGGATATTTCATACTAGTGGCAGTTTACGATGACTGTTTGAGGGAAAAGTGATGCAGACGGTTTCTCCTCAGAGGAATAACCAACTTATTTAGAGACAATCCATACCTTCCTTGTTATAGGAAAGCAAGAGCATGTGTCGACAGAAATGAATCAAAAAGAAAAAAAACATTTGCAAATCAAGCACTCAGTACTTTCTATAGTAGAACATACGAGAGTTTCATTGCACACTATGTTAGGATTAAAATGCTTTGACATCGGAGGCAAAAAAGATTTATCTAAAGTTCGTATTCTTTTTATTTCATCAAACATTCACTCTGTAATGCAAACAAGTGTACATACCTTATGGCACCAGAATTCTCATGGTTTTTAGCTTTTGCTTGACTATTTGATTTAACAACTCCTGCCAGCCATACTGTCGCAATTAGCACGGAAGAAGCGGTTCTTCACCGCCACCTTTACTTCACGCTTAGTACAAAATCCCAATGTCTTTGGCCTCTTTCCCTCGTCATGTTCTTGCCTATTTTAGAGAATAATCATCTCTACAAAATTATTCACGCTTCTTCTGACGAAGCATTACCGTTTACTAGTAAATATAAGCAGCTTAAAAGATTCACATTTTTATCTGAACAGACTAAGATGAAGTGTCCTTAGATACTGAAAAAATGAACCAACTGAAAACCTAGCAGTTTTTAGAACACTATCACAAACAGTGCCTAATTTTAACATCCCGTTGAATGCAGGACATTAATACCACGTATATCTGTGCATACAAATGCGTCGAAAATCCACTTAGACATCGAGTTGGAAAAATTAAGAATGTGAGATCCCGATTGAGGTTTCATGACGGGATTGAAACTGCTAAATAACGCCATTCCGATGACGGCAGCGAGTATAAGGATCGACCTTAACTGTTTTGGCTCTAAAGTAAAGCAGTTACCGAAAGCGTCGAATAGGATTAACCAATCCAGAACGGAAGCCTTGTTAAGCTTAATGAGCGAGAGTGCCTATAAATAGCTGTCACTTTCACAGCTGCCAAGCTGTGACGTAATTTAGTTCCAGAAGACAAAAAGAGAAACTTTTTCATAAAGCACTGTGTCACTTCACGCGTCGTCCACCTTTAAAGGTTTATAAAATGAAGTTTCTACCGGTGAACTTGTAAGATATCTAAACGTGCTGAAAGGTTATGAAAAACCCCACGTTTACTTTAATGGCAAGCTATCTATCTACACACTGCAGAGAACAACAGGCAAGAACTGAATTTCTGTGAATCGTTCAAAGGCCAAAATTAGAAAGTTTATCATCTAGTTTGGAAATGAAAAAGGCTTCAAACGCTGCTTGTTACAGCATGCAGATAGTAACTCTAAGAAATACAGAAAAAATACGCTTCTCTTTTGTAAAAACCATAGGAACCGCCCTAACTCAGCAAAAAACTTTAAATTTTCCTAGTCGGTGTTTCACCTTGACTATGTCTTACTTCCGAAATGCTATATTTACTAAGTGATTTAAGCACCTGCTAAGAGATAAGCATGAAACTCCAGAAGAATTAAAGGAAAGAAGTGAACAATTATTCGCCGACAAAGGACAATGTAGAAAAATATTTAAAATATGAAGAAACTAAACTAAGGTTCGCACATAAAAAGGCCAATAAAATCAGTGAAATGATATCTAATCATGAGTCAGAAATAAAAAGTTAGGATTTTTTGAGATCTTTCACTGGCTTGAAGAAAAATTGAAGAAAAAAAGTGAGATCTTTCACTGGCTTGAAGAAAAATTTGGCTTTCTTGACTTTTCAAAATCTATTTCAGTTAGGCAGCGGAATGACAACCAGCAGTAATGCTTTCTGATGAGTCCAGTCATAAAATAAAGTGTATTTCAGTACTAAATCCATACTTATTACAGAAGAACCTGATTTCCAGATAAAATAAAGCCTGATTGGCTGCATTGTTTAATAGAGCTACTTCTGTGGAGCAACCGATCGGGCGCTATCGCGTGAAAACTTTGTCGGTGAGTATAACTGTTTTGAAAAGTGTCGTTTACATAACGCTATCAAACAGAAGAAAATAAAACTTGGTTCTTCAGTAGTATCAAAAGTCATCTAATGAAAAAGCGCAAAGATCATAAAAGAAAGAAGCAACTAGAAAAAATACCGAGCTACTGCTCAGAGTACGTCCATTCTTAGGAAATTTTAGGAACCTTTTACTACCAAGACTTCAAAAACTGACAATTCTTTCATCATTCTGGATGATATTCTACGACAGCATTCCAGATCTGATGTGCTTTCTCTTAATGAATTTGTCCCCAACAGAGTGCCAAAGAAGGAACGTCGTAAGATCCTCTAGCACTTTACTGAAACATTTTTAGTTCTTAAGTTGTACGAGACGAAAACTCGAACCAAGTTATAAATACATATATGTATTTATTTATTGAATGATATATGTGTATATATATTTTGAACAGAAATGACACAAAGCTGTCATAAAAACTACAAATTTTTTGCGTACTCTAGAAGATTTAAAAAAAAATAAAAAATAGCATAACATCTCCCAAATGTCCTTAGTAAGGTAAAGAGTATAATGCTTGATCAGGCAGCAACTGGTGCGGCAAATGACCAAATCAGGTGTAGATTTCTGTAGTATATCAATATTTAGAAAATTACTGTTGAAAAACCTGAGCAAAAAACTTCTAGATTTAAAATAGCATGAAACAAAATGGTGCTTCCAAAACTGTGCATAGACAGCGATACTTTACAACCTGTAAAGCATAATTATTCAAAATTCTGCGAAAATTCAGGCCTCTGTATTTGCAGAAATGGACTTTGCAAGCTTTTTGATCGAGCACTCACCAGAAAACAAAAAAATCTGGTCAAAGCACAATTTCTGCACTCTGTATCTGTTTCTTCTTTCAAAAAAAAGTGCAATTTGTTTCGTTTTAAATACAAAAAAACCTTAATATCTCTAGCGCTGCAAAAACTCCCACCAGTACCTTAACTCTCATTCCGTCCCTTTCCTCTCCGACGTTATATTAGTCAAAACGCAACATTTCTGAAGAACAAGGTCACTTCACCAAATTCAAAACCTTAAGAATACAATTCCGTAAACAAAAAGATCCAGAATTTTCAACAAAATAAAAACACATTCAAAAACTGTAAGGATAAACTTTATACGACAAGAATAAAACTACTAATCTGTTTATCCAGTGAAGACTATTTTTCGAAATACTGTCATAAAATCTCCCTAGATGAATCGTCAAGTAAAGTTTTGTGACTTTAGCGACTTTACCGAAAGATTTTTAATTGCCGCTTCTACCGTTTGAAATGTTTTCTGTAAAAATAACGGTTTTGGCACTTTTTTGGCTACAATCACGAGTACCGCAATATTAATTCTCACCGACTAATCAGTATTCCGAGCTATTTTAGTCAAGCGTGCTCATCCTCAAAGTTGCTCTTTTTAATCGAAAACCTAACTTTATTTTTTTGCAAACAGTTTTCTCAACAACATTTCTTTCATTTGATAGTCTAAGAATTGTCTGTATAACTTCTGCTAATTTTCAAGCGGCCTATTACAAGACTATTTCTATGGCATAGTGGATGCTGCAGGCGCTTTGCAACCACGATCCTAAGAATGCGGAAGGTACATTTACCGCCGCGCAATTCCTTTACTCAAATTTTTTTACCATCTTCTAGGACCCAAAATACTTATTTGGTCACAGTGCTTTAGTTCTGTACATAGAATTCGACAATTGCATTAAATGGGTTTATTCTCTACATGAGTTTCCTTTCACTGCTTTATAAATCTCTCTAGCTGCTTCATAACTTAAAGAGATAGTTAAAAGGTAGAACAGGCAACCCTGAGAAGAAAACATTTCATTAAAAACAGAAAGAAGCGACTATGGGAAAAAGTTTGGTAGAGGTAAAACAGAAATCTGAGCTGTAGAATCCTAACAGCTATCCTTCGTCCCTTATCCTCCTTGTAATCATTTTCTGTTTTCCGTCATTTCGCTGTAACTGAATCGCATCATTCATAATCTGTAGCCGTTTCACTTCATTTTTGTTAAAATTTTTTTCTCAAGATTACTTTTTCCACGTTTTCACAAGTTCTGTAAATTAAAAAACAGCTAAAGAGGTCTATAAAGTAGTAGCAGCAGACCTCTTGGGAAATAAACCCACTCAATGGCGTCTATTGACTTTTTTTTGTACACATCTGAAACACTGTAATTAAATAGGTATTCTTGGGTACCAGAAAATGGTCGTGAAAGGTGTGTAGTAGAAGTGCGCTGGGCCTTGACTTGAACCTTTCAAATAACAAAAGAGAATTTGGATTGACAGTCAAATAAAACATTTTTGCCGATGGGCACGCTTAATTGCAACAGCGCCTCAGCTGTCTCATTCCCCAAACGCTCATCCAATTGCTTCAAATAAATCACACGTAAATATAATAAAACTACTCAAAAATTACTCTAGCGTCACAGAATGGAACGAATCAGACCATAACTGGTCGGAAAGTGAAACAGCGTCGCAATTTACTGTAACATCAAAGTACGAGACTCTTTGACAAGAATTCTTGGGAGTCGAATCCCGGTGCTGCCAGAGCTGGGTTTTTGCCAACAAGGTGGCCGATTGCAGCGCACTATTTAGTAACAACGATTATGACGTCTTGGAATGCTGTTATCAAGCCGCTGAAGGCACCGCTATCAAGCTGTATCTTACGTAACTGCTACATTTCAAACGGTAACGATGTTCAAGTGGGCAGTCGTATGGGAAAAGGCGCTTGTCGCTTCATAAGACATCTAAAGTACTTAAAGGGGAGGGGAAGGGTAGAGGAGTAAGCCTTAGTTTTTTGAAATGTTTACTACTCGGGTAGAAATTTTTTTGCAACTATTACCATTGATGGCTCTTGCAGTTTTTCATTTTGCGAGCGGTCATCTTTTCTTCTGGTTTCAAGGGGTGTGTGTCTTCATGTTCTACGCAGGAGTTGTAGAACAGTTACTATACAGTCGTTAAACAACTAATATTATACAAGTACCATGATTATCATCGTTCCCGACAATGCAGTGACTGTTTTATCTGCTCTACCACTTTTTGTGAAATTAGTGGCAAAATCTAAACAGTTGATTATTTTCAATTGCCACAGAAACTAATTTTGTTTCTGCGTGAAAAATAAGCCTTCATAAAAAGGGTTATCTATTAGTTTTTTCTTAGTCAGTTTTTTGTTGAAGATTTTGTTTCAAATGCTCTATCAGCACTTCGTCGGAACTTTTTTGTTACAGTTTTTGATAATTTAATGGAGGAGTTCAAAAAGAAGGTGCTTTCTTTTACTATGTGGTTTGACCGAAGAACTACATTCAAAGATGGAGCAAGCGTTACTTTTCATGAGTATAGAGAAGGAATTGGTAGTAGCTGAGTTATTGTTTCAAGAAAATCTAGGGCTTTTTTTAAATACATCATTGGCTCAGGGTGTTAGTTAGTCTGAGAGAGTCGCAGTCTTTAAAAGAGTGTAATCAGGAAGTCGAGACTGCTAACTTTAAGCACTGTTCAAGGTTAACTGTGTGTCTGGGTTTTTAGAATTTCTTATGTCTAATGTTTTAAAAGCAGTAGCAACAGCAAAAAAACAGAAAAGTATTACTGGAGTACTGTTTCTGCGCTCCTTAGCTCAACTCGTCGTTTTTAGTACTTCAGGAAATGTTTCTTTCAGCAGTTTTGGCATGAGCAGAGTTTTTGATGAGTATGGTACAGAGTCATTACCCCTCACTTTTGTTGACCCGGGCGAGGAAGATTCTTCGTTGCTGCAAGGCGCCACACAGGTTTTTTTTTTTTTATTTTGTTCCACTGAGAAGTGGTTATTTTTGTCTTATTCGTTTGATAGATTGGTGTAATTTGGTGAGCGCTAGTATGACTTCATTTCTACTTCAGGTTTTTCTCAGTCAGTTATTGTTATTTTCTGTTCGATGCTTTATGTTACCTTTGCTTGCTATATCTAAATTTCAAGTAAGTTCAGGATTCGCAGTTCGAGTTTGATCACCAATTTACGTTGCCGTCACAAAGCAACTGGCAGTCTTCCGTAAACGAGATTTCCAATGGGGCAACGCAAGAGTTGACTTTTGTCGATGAGGAAGATGCACAGCCTGCTCAAACATTGCCATCTTATGCTTGCAAGTTGGTAGTTTGCTGTTGTCGCCTTTTCCTTTGTTAGTTTAAGGAGCGGCGAGATGTAAAGGTCAATAATGTTGTGTCGAAACGCGCATTTGAAAAAATACCTTTTTTAACCTTCAGAATAAGGGTATAAGTTTGGACTTGAAAAGTTGGTTTTCACTGAGTTAGACTTCAGCAAAATGTAGAGGAGTCGGTTTTACTTGTCTCACATTGTTTTTTAGCTACGTTTCATATAATTTGTTAGCGTGTTTTTTTTCTTCTGCATACAGTAAAAGTTCAGCACATTCGCAAAGTTTTTTGAGGTGTGAAAAAAGGAGCGAAAGATATTAATTTTTGAGGATTTTATCCGGGAATGGTGTTTTTCTTCATTATTCGGAAGGTACTTTAATTTTGAAATGAAGCTTAAAGTTTTACTTGATAGAGATGAAAAGATGTGTGCCGCAATGGGTCGTAGAAAAAGGGTGAAATCGTAAAAGACTTCAGTAGTACAGCGTTTAATTGTTACTGGATTTCAAAGCTGAGTTTGTTTCTGAAAGTTAGTGCAAGTATGCTAGATGCGAAAAAATCAAGTTTTTTTCAGAGATTGGTGGAAGTAGAGTAATAACAAAAGGCTTTTGACATCTGATCCTGGTTTCTGGGAAAATAGTATTTTTTAGGTACCATGCCGCCTTACTGACATTCCAGTTTTTTACTTCTACAGTTAATCTTTTAATAATTATGTTTTTTGAAACAATGTTGGACTCTTCAGAAGTTTTCTGGGATGCAAGTGTAGAACTGTCTTTGAAAGATGTATTTAAGTCTTCCTTACTGTATCGTGAGTATGGGTTGTTATTAGCCTGTTAGTAGTTGCTTTATATTAAACAGTAGTTTACAGAAACCTATGATGAATAAGCCTAAAGATTTTTTTTATTTTTCTGAATATATCTGGCGCCGGATACATTATTGCTTCAATCCACGACAACTTTGGAGTTGAGGAGTGGAAATGGTTTATATAAGGTTAATCTAAAGAAAAAAATCTTGAAAGCTTTTTAGTACGCTGTTAAGCTATCAGCATAATTCTTCGTACGTATTTGTTTACTGATTTTTAGGTACTGCGGTATTCATGACCCAGCAGCTGTTGCGATGTGCTTGAGGTGTGAGAAATGGTTTTGTAACGGTAGAGGAAGTACAACTGGTAGTCATATAGTTAACCACCTTGTACGTTCTCAGCACAAAGAAGTTGGCTTGCACAAAGATGGCCCACTTGGCGAAACACAGTTGGAATGCTATAGTTGTGGATCAAGGTTACTGAGTTACCCTGTTTTCTTCAAGTATTTAATGCTCATGATTTCAGATTTTTACGATTGTATATCTAGTTATTCCGTCCAGTAATGCTAGTAGAAGGATGTGAAAGTTTTTTTTTAGTGCGACCAATTTATTGCTTTTTTTATTTTTAGAAACATTTTTATGTTGGGATTTATTCCTGCAAAAGCAGACACTGTGGTGGTAGTTTTATGTCGGACTCCTTGTGCTGCTCACTCAACTTTAAAAGACGCAAGTTGGCAGGTATTGTTTTGAGCAGTTGTTTTTGCGCTTTATTCAAGATGCGTCTTTCGTGCACTTTAAAAATTTTTTTTAGGTTGATGAGTGGAAGCCACTGATAAGCGATAAACAGCTTCTTACGTGGTTGGTCAAGGTACCTTCAGAGCAAGAACAGCTTAGGGCAAGACAGATCACTGCTGTTCAAATTAACCGTCTAGAAGATTTGT